TTATTACATTTAGGAAGGCTGAGAACCACTGCTCTAGAGAACTCTGATTAACACACTACTTATTACTATATCATCTGCCATTTCCTTTCTTGGTTTCCTAAAGGAGCCCAGGACTCCCTGTCCCACCACTTCTCTCCATGCTGCCCCCCCCCCCCCCGCATTTAGACCATCAGTGCTCTTCCCCCAGTCTACTGCTGGAATGCACGGCTTCACAGCTGCTCTTCACACTAGATGTCCACATCCCACTGGAACATCACACCGAATGAAGTAAAAACTACAGACCCCAACTTATAAGCCACACCCCAGTCTTTTACTCTTACCAGTAAAATGCTGTTCACCATACAAATAGAATTGATTGCTTTTACAGAGAGCATGAAGCACTCAAGATTCACCTGTAGGGGCTCGTCAGTTAAAAGAACATGTTGCTCTTGCAGAGGTCTATGGTCCAAATTCCCAGCGCACCCCTGGTAGCTCACAACCATCCATAACTCCAGTTCCAGGGAATCCAACACCCTCTCCTGGCCTCCTAAGGCACCAGGCACACAGGTAGTGCATATACATACATCTGGACAAAACACTCAAATACACAAAACAAAAATAAACAATTTTTTAAAAAAATCACCTATAAGATAATTTCCCAGTAAGTTTTATCCCTAACAACTACTTAGTCTTCCAAATGAAGGGGAAATACAACAAAGTAAAAGATGTATTCTTCTTTTTCTCAGAATCCTACAGTGCCCGATTTTGTCCTAGAATTACACTGTATTTTGGTAACAGATCTAGATTATAGAGAGGACTAAAACATGAGGCACAAAAGGTAAAAAATAAGAATTAAAGACATCCATCTGGAATAAATCTTCCTGCTTCAGCTTCTCAGGTTCTGGAATTACTGGCATATGCTACTATAGTGGTCCACCTCTGATCATTCGCTAAGGTTTGGATGAGTGTCCCCCATCCCCCCTACCCCCAACAAAAGACTGTCAGGAAAGGCTTGGTCCTCAGGGCAGTAGTAGCAGGGGCCTGTGGACCTTTTAAAAGGAAATCCTTGCACCATGAGGCAAAGCGATGCAATTCAAGTGAACTATGGAACCTGTCTGTTCATCTCTCCTTCCAACTCCACTTCTCGGTTTGTGCCACTCACCCAAGAGGCCCAAAGCAATATATGCAACCCTGGACATAAATCTCTAAAGTGGTAAGTCAAATTGGCTTTCTTTTTTTCCTAAGTAGCCCGTCTCAGAAATCTCATTACAGTAACACAGTTGATTAATACACTGCCCACCATAAAACTCCTACTAGCCGTCTGCAATACAACGCTGTCCTCAACATTAGCAGCCACAGCTATGAGTCTGCATGAATAAACACCTGTTTGCACAGAAAATAATACAACTTAAAAGCTCATGTGTCATAAAAATAAATACATAATCAGCAACACACTAGAAAAAACATTTACTTTCATATATTAAACCATGTAATCAACTGATGTGAAAAATCAAAAACTTCAATCCTAAATGCTGGGTTCAAAGAAAGATGAATCCCACAAAAGAGTAGAGTGTAGATTTGATTGACGGACAAAAGCCATTAATGAGATAGATGTGAGTGCTTCAAAGTGGAGGAGGAATATTAGACTTGCAGATGCCAATGTCTTCCCAACCACTGAGACTACAAACCAATAACTTCTTGGTAAACTGACTCTTGTCTGAAGATGCTCCTTTATTTGGTATTCAGATTATTCTTTGGTTTAAGCTGTCATCACCTATTTCATCATGGCTTTCTCAAATAAAAGCATTACCAAAGCCAAACAACTATGCAGTTATTTGCCTGTATCTATTCTCCTTTAGAATTTAATAAATATTTGAAGATTTCATAACTCCTTTCAATTAAAAAAAAATCAAATTCTGGGGCACTAATGCTAAGCCTATTAAGACAGAAAATTATCTCAAAGATGAGAACTGTTCCCTGAAGAAGCACTACAGAGGTGGCTCTTCTTGAATAATCACTTCCAAGGACTGCTAAAATCTGTAGTAAAACATATGCTAACTGAGAATCCCCTTATCCTAAATGTTTGAGACTAGGTATATTTTGGATTCAAATTTTGAAAAGTTAAATATCTCGAGAATGTGACCTAAGCTTAAATTCAAAATTCATACTTAAGTAACAGTAATAACTGAATAAAATGTACTGATATATATTACACTGCACTTTAGTATTTTAAATTTATATTATAGACAATAAACTGAGGTCTGTGTGTACATCTCCAATTCAAGCATTAACAAGGCCTGACCCTGCTTAGCTTGAGACCATGTGCACTCAGGGCAGTATGGTTGTGGACAGAGTGTGTATATATCAAAATAAGCAGTTAATGTTCACTCTGAATCACCAATAAACAGAACACAAATAAAAAACCCGTATCTCTGGATGGAAAATATTCAGGGGAAAAAAACTACACAAAAGTGTACAAACTATTTACATTATTCCTCAACAATCCAGTATAAAACTACTTATATAATATTTACATATTATGTATTAGAAATATAGAGATGATTGAAAGCACACGAGATGGGGACATGTTCAAAGATTACATAACTTTCTAGAAGGGATTTGAGTGTCTGCACATTGGGTATCAGAGCCACCTGCCATGGGTGGATGTCCACTGTGTGTTTTGTGCAACTGCATCCTACCCGAGGCTCACACTGAAACTCAGGTTTCAGTGCACAACCGTTTCCACAGAAACTGCTCCACGCCTGTAGCACCTTGTTAAGTCCACAGTTGAAACTTTCATCTGATACAATCAAGCCATTACGAAGCTGCAAGTTTTTGGAAACCTATATATTGTGTTGCAAAGTACTGTTGCTTGGATACTGGAGTTAGTATGTCAAAATTACATAGCAAAACTGAACACGAAGGCAGAACCACATAGTCATTTGGACTTAACTAAGCAACTTTTATAAAGAGTTTTTGGGTGGCTTTTGTTGTTGTTGTTGTTGTTTTGGTTTTCTTGTAGCTGTTGTTTGTTGTTTTCTTTTCTTTTTCAAGACAGAGCTTCTCTGTGTAGCGCTGGTTGTCCCGGAACTCGCTATGTACACCAGGCTGGCCTCGAACTTACAGAGATCTGCCTGTCTCTGCCTCTCGAAAGCTGGGACTAAAAGGCATGCGCCACCACCGCCCAATATCACAGACTTTTAAAACCTTAAATGTCAGACTTAAAGTTCCAAACCAGAAGAGATTCCACCTGTCAATAATTGTCAAAGTTCAAACTATCTGAAGACTCGTAATAAAACTGATTAACTTAAGATACTGCCCTGTACAAACAAGATCCTACCAATATCATCGAAGTCTTCTCAACTCCGAATACTTTTCCAACCACATAAATGCTAACCTACTTAGAAAATGGTACTGTCAGATATACATTTTCTTTTCATTCTACCCCCGCCCCTTCCCCACCGCTTCTGGTAACCAGTTGTCAAAAGTGACTAGCGAGTGGAAAGATAAAAGCAGCGCTCCTACACTCCCAATGGTATTTATTACAGCCTGGAAGTAAGCAAGACCAAAAACAATCAACAGTTAGGCTCTCCCCTCTCCGACAGGTGTAGAAGACGGGAAGAAGGTAACTCTAAATCCAAGACCGCACCGCTGCACTTTGACCACATTCAAATGAGAGCCCCGCGCCAGGGTATCCCAGTCCGCCTGTCCCCTGACAGACTCCAGAACCACAACCACAGCAACAGACACGTCTATGTCCTGGAGCTACTGCAGAGGGCAGAGTGGGATGCTCAAGCCGAGTTCAGAAGAGCGAGCAGCATAAGCCCAGAGAGGACGGAGGGCACAGCGCCACCCTCCCACCTCCCCATCAGTTCCCAGGGCGCCTACCTCCTCTCCGAGCACCCTTAGCAGGCGCAGTTCTCAGGCGTTCCCGCCGCCTCCGCTCCGAGGAGCTGGGGAGCCGACTGTCCCCGCGCCCGGCCCCGGGAGGACGACGAGGAGGAGGTGCATGCGCGGCTCCCAGGAACCGGTCCTCCGCAGGCTGACGGACGCCGGGAACAGGAAGCAGCAGGGCCCGCCCGGATCCTCGCCAGGCTTCCAGAGAGCTCGGGACGCTGGAGGAGACGCACAGAGGCCGCAGCAGGGCAACGAGCAGTGGCCGCAACTAGGCCAGGCCGCTAGACAGGCGGCATCTAAACGCCACCGGAAGTCGCTAGTTCGCCCCGTTTCGCCACAGGCCAGGCGACTTCCGGCCTTCAGATTAGTCGTCAGCGAGTAAGTCCCGCCCCTCCCGGACCACGCCCCCTGGCGTCTCCATGGTAGTGAGGCGTGTTGGCGCCGCCTGTGTACTGAGATCTGGAGAAGGAAACTGAGAGCTAGCTAGGGAGAGCTGAGATTCCCAATTAATTGCAGAGGTTCTCGATCTAACGGTCTTCCAGTGCGTGAGTGCCACTTTGTTACTGGCAGTAACCGCAGCCTGGCGTGCTTCGGAGCTGCAGAATTTGACATCCGCCCCCACCCCTCCTGGGCCTGTCGCTGGAGCCAAAGCTGGACAGGGATTGTGTTTTCAAGAACACGAGCAGAGATTGATTGAAATTCTGAAGTGGAAATCTTTAAGATGCTTCAGAGTGCCTTTGCTTTTGCTGCTTGGATCCAATGATCTGCATAAAATTAGTATTCAATTTGCTTAAGAGGGGCTGGAGAAAATGGCTTCAACCGTTAAGAGCCGTTGCTGCTCTTACAGAGACTGCGTTTGGTTTCCAGTACCCATATGGCTGCTAATAACCTTCTGTAACTTCAACAACAGTGGACACAGCGCTTTCTCTGGGGTCCAGCGCGAACTAGGTGCTTAAACTTGCTCAAGGGCACACACACGCACACACACACACACACACACAATAATAAGTCTTAAAACTGCTTAAAATAGCTGGTCATTGTAAATCAGGGGGTGAGGGAGTTGGGAATCAATTCCTAGCCCCTTACAATAAGAAGATTAAAATACACATGAACCATTGTCATCCTTAAGATCAAAGTGCTATGTATTTTTATTCTTTGACAAAACAAAGGAACCTGTTTAAACTGAGAAGCTAGTTCAATAATTTGATATAAAATAAAACCACGCAGAGCAGAGGCAAGGACATTAAACGTTCCTGATGACATGCCAAGCTATTTTGGAGACTGCTGCCAGAGCTTCTGCACAAGTGGGTTTGATGTATCTCTCAGGCAGCAAGAATCCATATCTGCCTTTATCTCGAAGTTCAATAGTAAATGAGTATTTGATGCCCAAATCATAGATCCAATCATCAGAACCTCCAGGAGCTAGGTCTAAAAGAAGACAAAAGAGAATATTTTTTAATTTTATTTGTTTCAACTCAATTAACAACAATTTCTTTTTGTAGAACTGAAAATAACTTTGCTTTCTTCTGATTAAGCTACCTAAATTTCTTATCTGAAAGTTGTGGACATTGAAAAGAAAACATAAGAAAGAAAACAAATGTTGCCCCAGAACTCCACATAAATCTGACCAAGGATCAGTAAGTGCCAATAACAGTTTAGTGCAGGGGCTGGAGAGACTTCTTAGAGGTTAAAAGCTCTGGCCGCTCTTCCAGAGGACTCAGGTTCAATTCCCAGCATCCACATGACAGCTCACAACTGTCTGTAACTCCAGCTCCAGGGGCTCTGACACCTTTGTACCAATGCACATAAAATAAAGTTAAATAAATTTTTAAAAAACAGTTTAGTGCATTTTACAGAGCATGAATTTTCTGTCTTAATTTTTATTATATAAAGTCACATGATGCCTGCCTGCTATTTTGTAAAATTTCTAGAGGTAATTGTTGCAACGTTTCCAAATGTATCATTACTGAGTTTGCATCTACATCATTTTTACTGGTTTTATAGAATTGCATTGAAAAGCTACATGTGATTGTTTTAAATAATTTTGTTGGTAAATAACTTAGTTTCTTTAGAGTGAGCACCGTTGTTGATAAATCAATGTTTATTAGTTCAGAATATTTTCTAGAGGTAGAACTACTTGTCTAAGGTTGTGTGCCTTTTAACAGTTACCACACTGGTTACCAAGCATTATTCAAAACCTATTCCTCCTAACAGCGTGTGAGTACCCTCACTGCCGGCTCCTGCACCATTGGTGAGAACCGTGCATCTTGACAATTTTCTGAGAAAAAAAAACTATTGTCTTTGATTTAGATTTCTTTTATCAGTGAATTGCATGCTTTATAAATTTATTGTTCATCTTACAGTTTTCTATCAATTTCCTTGCTTACACATATTGTTTATAAGAACAGTGTTAATGTTATTAGATCCGTGCAACTTGTAAAGTTTTTCTTACTCAAGTTTTTAGCTTATGGCGGGTCTTTTGTACTTTAATATCTGATCGATTTGACGTTTATTTCAGTGAAAGATATATTAATAATTCCATTTAGTTTTCTGTTTGTTTGGTTGATGGGTTCTTGTTTGTTTGTTCTGTTTTGCTTTGTGATTTTTTTTCAAGATAGGGTTTCCTCTGTGTAACAGCTTTGGCTCTCCTGGAACTCTCTTTTTAGACCAGGCTGGCCTCAAACTCATAGAGATCCATCCACCTGCCTCTGCTTCTTGAGTGCTAGGATTAAAGTTGTACCACTACCACCTGGCGTAATTCAGTTTTTCTTCTTAGTTATTTGGCAGTGTTTCTAGGGCTAATAATTAAACGATTCAACTGACTTGAATGTCTCCTTTAGGACTTGAATGTCTCCTGATAGACTTGAATATCTTTCTGTGCCCATTATTTCCTTTTAATGATCTGTCTCTTCCAGGCTCAGTTCCACACTATACTAATATCCTGTGCTTATAACACGCTTCAGTACATCAGTGGGGCAAATTGTTCCTTATTGGCTTTTTACTTTCAGCATTTTACAAATTCATCTCTCAAATGTATCCTTCCAAATGAACTTCACAGTCATGTCAGTACTCATGAAATTGTACTAAATACACACATCAATTTCGGAAAATTTCAATATTCCTTCCACATCGGAAAGCTTTTAGACTTCCTTCAAAATCATTTGAGTGTGCATGGAATTGCACCAATACAAATCAATTTAGGAAAATTTTAATAATATTTTCCTGTTGCCCAAAACATAAAGAATTCTCCTGTTATTTATCTTTCAGTGAAAGTTTTAGATTTTTGTAAGTGCCACAGATTTATTGTGTTTATGTATACACATCCATGTATTTAACAACCCATATGTATGTATGCGTATGCTTGCACACATATATATTCATGCACGCTGTAGCAGGCAGTCGGATCTACTCTGTGTGTGGGGGGGGGTGAGTTTTTGCGACAGATCTGACTACCTAGCCCAGGCTGGACTACAACTCACTCTATAGCTCAAGTTTAGCTCAAGCTAGTGATCTTCCAGACTTAGCACTCCAAAGTGTAGCGATCACAGCGGTGTGCCACCATGCCTTACTTTTCTTTCCTGCCTGGTTACTTCTACGTATATGAAATGTATATCTGCATATATTTAGTGCCTCATCAACTGCTTTACAACTATGCTACTAATACCTTTGGTTGATTTCCTAAAGTTTTCCAATTAAGCAATTATATAATGTGTCTCTTTCTGCATGTGCTAGGATTGCTTGTAAGGTTTGTGAACTGAAGCATTACTTACACTTTTTTTTTGAGACAGAATCTCATGTAGCCCAGGCTGACCTCAAACTCTCAATATAACCCAGAATGTCTCAGAACTCTTGGTCCTCCTGCTTCATCTCCTGACTGCTGGTATTATAGATGGTTTATGCACACTTTCTAATATTTTTAAATATCCATAAACAGTGGATGCATTCAGCCATCCATAAGTATTCTGATAATTACTATCAACAAATGCCTATCATTTATGGTTCCAGGTTTATCCTGTGCTTGCACAAAGAGGGCAGGGGGAGAGGGAGGGAGGGAGGGAGGGAGAGGGAGATGAGAGGAGAGGAGAGGAGAGGGAGGGAGGGAGGGAGGGAGGGAGAGAAGGAGGGAGGGAAGGGAGATGCATCTCGGGTGAATGAGTGTTGAAGATGGTCTAGGTCAACAAAGGCATCCAATGGGCCAATGACACCGAAGGACAGAAGTATGTGGCCCAATCTGATAGACAGCCCCAGGGATGATTGAAGACAAAGAAGAGAGCTTGGACTTCCTGCTAACAAAAATTTTGATACTTAAAGGGGTATTGAAAAGAATTTGGATGCCACTGTTGTTATAGCCTTGTGTCAAACATACTTATTAAGTAAGACCATGAGCTTTCACTCTACTGCCTCCAAAGCTTTACCATGCCTTTATACAACACATTACACTATCATCTGTGTATTAACAGCTACTTAATAATTCCCCAAGGACTGCCTTGCCAGGCCACATTAGCCAAGCAGCTTCTCTCAGCTGCAATAATCCTCAAATCTAAAGTCCATTTTATTTTCTTGAAATCACTAAGGGAAATTGTATGCTATTTTACCATTTGTTTGCATCAGGAGTTGGCAAGACTTTTTTTCTGAAAAAGGATAGGAAATAGTTTATGTTTTGTGAGCCATCTGGTCTCTGTTGCAATTATCTTGGCTGTCATGAAAGCTGCCATAGATAATATGCAAATTAATGAGCCCTGCTGTGTTCCAATAGAACTATTCATGGAAATAAATCTGAATTTCATATAATTTTGATGTGTCAAAATTTAACTATTTTCATGGTTTTTCAAACATTTAAAAAAAATGGAAAAAACATTCTTAGTTCAAAGGCTATGAAAACGTGTAGTGACCTAGGCTTGGTCACTGAGTTATAGTTTGATGACATTGGTTTACATGTTTGTTTTATACTCTTAATCTATCCTTTTGTGTATCAATCTTCTCCTAGATACAATGTTCCAGCAGCGTGCTCTAGGATTCCTGTTTCCCTAAGCCATCACCCATGCTGGGGTGGGTTCTGGTGATTTTGTTGCCTTTGAGTCATTGATGCTCCTGTAAGTAACCCCTCACCCATATTTCTGTAAGCACTCCCAAACTGTTTGGCTCACCAGACCGGACAAAGGTGTTATCTCTCCTTTGGTTTGTTGTTAGATCCCCTATCGGGAATGAGCAGACATTTGTTCCCATCTCCCCAGGAATTATGTCACATGATACCCATCTATCCCTCAGTTTCAGAAAAACAGAACCAATTATTGATCACCTATGCAGGAGTTTCTCAATAAATATCTTACAACAGAAATGGGTCAAAAACACTTGTTGAGTTTGCCACAATCAGGCTCTCTCTGTGAGTCAGAAACAGGCTGTCACTAAAAAGCGTGCACAGTAAATGGCATCTTCTGGAGTTATATATCTCACAATAGCTGTTGGCTCTTACACGTTCCTCTGGCCCTGTATGGACTTTTCTTCTTCGTGTAGTAATTGGTTTGATTACTAGTTCCGTAACCCCCACTCTATTGTGATAAGTTTCACATCTTAAGTACCACTTGGCTTCTTTTGTTGTCTAAACCTACACAAGAAAACTGAATTGATGTCTCGGCTGTGCTTCCTGGTCTGAGCTCTCTAGAAGAAATGCCACACTGAGGATGACCCTCAACACCGATGTGGCTGTCCAGGGTACCTAAGGCCATGGGCGTCATCCCCAACACAGCAAATAGAATGCAGACATGGAATAGGAGGAACAGGAGGAGAAGGAAGGAAAGAAGGGGTGAGAGGAGAGAGGAGGAATACTTACATAGACTTTCTGAGCCACTGCCGTACGTATACCTGGTGTTTCTATTAATACTTTCAATGGCGTGAGCTGCTTCGCTGGCTACTAGAGACTAGAAGCAATAGGATAGAGATGGTGATCAATCTGCAGCTTTGAAACAGAAGGGATTGAACTTTCTAAACAAACATAATCATAATCACACTAATTGAATCCAAGTGTGTGTGTGTGGGAGAGGGAGAGACAGAGACACAGAGGATTTATCCAAAAATTAAATTAAAAAGAATACATTAACTTAAAAAATGCTTTTCCCTCTATGGCAATCACAACTGAGTGATTTAAAGGGGGGAAAAAACCTCTGCCAATACATCAAATGTTTTCTTTAATTTACATTTTAAAAACCTGACATAGCTTTTCAGGAATTAATTTATTATGTTAAATGAACTAGATATTTATAATACTGGGAGCTATCCCATTCCTAGTTAAAATTTTCACCAGACTTTAAATTTCGCTTCTCTAAAGTGCATGCATAATTTGCCTTTCACAAATGGTTGTGTATTTGTCAAATGAAGGGCTATGCCCCTGATATGAAGCAGGCGCCACTATATGTGATCCCAACCCCTAGAAATGGTTTCTGAAAGTTCTCACGTAACACTTTTCTAAAACTGGAGCTAGCATCATGATACTATCAGTTGCTTGAGGACCCGGAGGAATATCCATGGCTGTTTCGTTATGCCAGTTTTTTTATGCAAAACAGTGGTTGTAGGAGCCAATGGGATGGCTCTATGAGTGAGAAAAGGCTGTTGCCACCAAGCCTGACAACCCGAGTTTAATCTCTAGACCCAGATAGTAAAAGAAGAGAACCAACCCCTGCAAGTTGTCCTCTGAACTCCACACATGTGCTGTGGCATGTATACTTTTATGTGTGTGGGCACACCCACAAGCACACACATACACTAAATGAATAAATGTAAGAAAAAGATAAAAATAAATTAGGGGGGCTAAAGAGATGGGTTGGCAGTTTAAAGCAACTGGTTTTCTTACAGAAGACCTAGGTTCAGTTCCCAGCACCCACAGGCAGCTCACAACTGCAACTCCAGCCCTAGAGGCTTCAGTGCCATTTTCTGGCCTCTTCAAGCACTGCATGCATCTAGTGCACAGACATACATGCAGGCAAAATACCCATACACATAAAATAAAATGAAAACTATCCAGTGGTACTTCGTTATCTACATAATAAATTGTAGACTGCCATTTAAACACCTTCACAAGCTAACTTCATCTACTCACTGTGCCCCCACTCCCGTAGTCCCCTGAGGATGTTCCATGGGGAGCACCATCTCCTCTGCACAGGAGGTCTTCCCTTGCCCATAGAAATCTCTCAGTGCCTGGTTGCAATGGCATCTGCCCCTTGATATCATTCTTATTCTTGCTTCTTAACCCGTAGTGAACATACATCCATCAAGAATGGGGCTCATTGTACCCTCTCACTGTCTTGGCATTTCAGGCAGCAGTGACTTCTGTCATTGTCGTGCTCGTAGTAATGAGGATGTGTCATCTACGAGAGCAGCTGTCTGTGACGCTATGCACCAGTTCTCTAATCATACGAAATGATCCTTAATTGCAGGGCCTACCTAATGCTTCTTTGAATGTTGACAGAATACAGAGTTCTGCCCTTAATAAGGAGTTGTGCCAATAGCAACCAAGTCAGGCAAACAGACCCATTCTACATCTTAAGCATGGTAAATATCCTTTTATTTCTCTATGCACACTGCTAATAAATAAACTAAGAAAAATAAATGATGAACATTTCTTTAAAATGTTTCCTTTGAGAATAAAAAAACCATAAATATCAAGTAAGCTTTTCTTTCAAACAAGCTACTTTTAAAAAATGCAAAAAAAAAAGTGTTTGTCATAAATACTACCTACCCAGGTCGATAGACATAGCCTATCCAGGGAGATAGACATAGCCTACTCAGGGAGAAAGACATAGCCTACCCAGGGAGATAGACATAGCCTACCCAGGAAGATAGACATAGCCTACCCAGGGAGATAGACATAGCCTACCCAGTGCTCTTTATCTGTTAAGAGAGCCAGGGAACAAAGAGCAATAAGCATGATCTACTGAACACGGATCAGCTTTTGCCCATGCCAGGGCACCTCCACTGTCTGGAAAGTACCTGGGACAAGGGCATGCCTAAGTCTGGGTATAACCCCTTGAGAGTCCTGCATCCTTTACTGTCTATCTCTACAGAGCATCCAGGATCAAAACCAAAACGTTGGAAGAAGACAGTAGACCAGGTGGGTCTTCACTGAATGGCTCGTATTGTCCACTACATTCCAAACAGTGTCTCAGTGTAGACACTGGTATGTTTTGAACAGCACCAACCACTGGGAGTTGAAAAGGGCAGTACACAATTAGTTCTCACTGCTCGCACCCAAAAGAGTGAGGGGCTAGGAGTTAACCAAAGGCAAGCTGTCCTAGGAAATTAGTGACCACCACATAAGGCGAGTGGAAAGCTCCCTCCTGGCCTCTCCATAGATTATCTGGCACAGGGAGGCCATTCCCTGGGAATGAAGTGCCTGTCCTCATCTTAATGGCAATTCCTAGAATTCTCTTAACGACCCAAGCTGACTCCTGGCAGTTAGTAGAGGAACACACCTGCCGATTATTCCCTAATGGAAACAAAGTTTTCCTACCTTTGTGATTCTTGGACAGAATATTGTTTTGTCTCTAAAATGCTTATAATAAAAGAGTACTGCTTACCAGCTCCTCATGGTCCCTGCTTCTGCTTCTGTTATAGGAGTAGGGAAACAGTATTTGTTGGGAGTAAGAGTGCATGCTGATGTAAGCTTTGATGTGGTTGATATTCCTTCTCAGGAAGTCAGCTACCGCCTTCACCTCCGGCTCCGACTCGGGATGAAGTCCGCAGTAGGTTTCCGAGCAGGAGAAGCTTGAGGCTCCTTCCTCTGCAGCAAAATGGTTAATGAGACCTTATTAGAAGTTGTGCGTTCTGTGCTTTGTGCTTCACCTTAAATCTCTAGTGCAGCAAGTGCGGAGAAATGGACAAGGGCAGGCTCTAAAAAGAACGCATTTCTGATGTCCAGTAAATGTCATCTGTGTTTCTTTTGAAGTCAAGTATTTACAGCAGCTTGCTAAGACCATCCTAGGTGGGTCTCCCTTACTGCCTGGGAGCAGCCATCTTGGATTCTGGAAGCACAACCAGGAAGGTCTCAGCTGTTATTTGTTTCCAAACTTTTGATTAAACGATGAAAAATAAACCAATTTCCTTAGTCACCATAGATGAATTTTTCTGATCGGAACAGCTTAAAAATCAGCATGATTCATTAAAAAAAAAAGAAGAAGAAGAAGAAGAACCCTCAACCAGAGTGAGATGGTGGAAATAAGTTTTTAGATCTGTTTTTCAGTTAGACACATTGGTTTGACTTATACTGTGACCATGATATTTGGTACCAGAGTAAGCTTTATTAATTCATTTACAAGGTCATAATATGTGTCCCTTTGTATGGTAGTCTGCTCTGATGGCTATTCTTGGTTGTCAACTTGACTACATCTAGAATTAACTAAAACCCAGGCAGGGGGCTGGGTACACCTGTGAGGGATTTTTCTACACAATTCTTTGAAGTGGAGTGTATACATATGGGCATATACATATATACATAAATATACATATTATTACACACACACACACACACACACACTTTTCCCCCATTCTATCAGTTGTGTTCCTCTAGAAATCCCTAATTTCTCCTTACGCCTCTAATTCACAGGAGTGGAGCCTCAGAGAGCCATATTTTACCAAGCCATGTGTCAATATTTTCAATGTGGCAGAGGATTGAAGCTCACTGTATAATTTAGGGGCTTGTTTGTAGTTCCCCACAGGGTCATGCTGTGTGGCCCAGTCTAACCTTGAACCCTGTCTTCTGCCTGCCTCGTCCCAGGAGTGGTGGAATTACAGGGGTACCCCATTATTCCTGGCCCACAGCCATTCTTAACTGTCACATTATAAACTATAATGTTAGGTGCAGTGGAAAGAAAGGGTGATCTTACATCTGCCTCCCCGAGAGCAGACTGTTTCCATGATCCAAGTCCATGTTCACTGAGCATCTCAGTTCATTCAAAACAAAGGATGACAAATTCCCACTGGGACTGTCTTATTTTTTTTTATATTTTTATCATTTCTTAGCATTTTATGTTACTCGTGAAAAGATTAATTTCTTAAGAAAGGTAACAGTTGACACAAAAGAAAATGTTTTAAAACGCTACAAAAACAAGCATTTACCTATACAGTTGAAAATGAGAGGGTGTCCCCTGCCCTAGACTTTGATGTCCTGATGAGGAACATGACATGTTAAAGCAAGGTATCTGATAACTTCCTTGTTAGTCTGAGATGGTACTTTTTTAATTTAGAAGAATTTAGAAGTATTTTTAAAATTTAAACTAGAAGAGACTTTTAAAAACCTGTTCTTGTTGAGTCCTCAGCCTTAAGTGGACCATCTATATCAATCCCTGCAAGGAACAGGAAAGAAGATGCAGGAGAGGCAGGAGAAAGAATGTAAGAGCCAGAGGATGCTAAGGAGAGCTCTGAAACACGGTCTTGTAGACATGTTAGCTACATGTTAGTGTGTGGTTAGCTGGACACACTTGTTCAAGATCAAACCAGCAAAAAATTCCAGCATGCATATGGCCAGAGGTCACCAGGCTCTTGCTGAGGGGACATTTGCAGTTGATAGTTGCTGGGAGAAGGTTGCCATTTTCCTTTGAGGGTGTGGTCATTGGTAGGTTCCCTATCCTCATGTAGGCTGTACTAATTGGACTCAGTAAATTAAGAGGGGGAGAAAGAAAAGAAGGGGAAGGGCAGTTCGGGGAGAGTGAGAAGGGGTGTTGAAGGTGGATATAATCAAGACACATTGCCTATATGTGTAAGATTATGCAAGAATAAATAAAAAACCAACTAGTCCAATCTCCTTATTTAGGAGGGGCCAGCAGCGGGAGGGAGCCGTTAAAGCAAGGTTTGCTGGCTCCGGTCAACAGTCACAACACTGCATTCACTTCCGGTGTCTGTCATACAGACACACCTCCCTGCAATCACTGTGAATTAATTCATGGGCATCTCTCACCATGAAACAACGCTTACCACACCAGTGTTTGGAAGCGAAGTTCCTGTTCAGGTCTGTGCCCACACATTGGTTGTTCTTGTGGACAGAACGGTTCTTTCTCCACATTCGGTTCTAAAGGAACCAGATGGGGACAGGTTATCAAGCTGGACCTTCCTGTCTCTGCCGCTGTCCTCTCACACAGCCCCGTCTCCATCCAGGTCCTAGTCACACTCATCATTCAAATTATTAGCTTGAGCCAAATAAAAATGATGCTATCTCACGGATTTTTGACCTATACAGGTATGAAAACTCATTTGTTTCCACTAAGCTGCTCACTGGCCTTATTTAGCCCTGCTTCCTTTAAATTAATTCATGTGCAAGCTTATCTTGAACTTCTTCAAAGAAAAGCAAAATAGCCTATATCTCAGCTCAAAACTATGAACTGTGTATGTTAGTGATCTCTCTGCTCTCTCTGCACCATGCCTTTTCAGGTTGGGATGTGTTGGCTGGTTGGTTGCTTGGTTGGTTGAGATAGGGTCTTACAATGCAACCCAAGCTAGCCTATGGAACATGATTTGGTTGAAGCTGACTTCAGACTCCCAGCGATCCTCCTGCCTCAGCTTCTCAACTGCTGGGATTACAGACACGAGTCACCACTGCAACAATGAGTTTTTGTTCTTTAGGAGTTTCTTTCTTTTTGAGATGCACAATGAAGTGTTTATTAATAAAATAATGATACAATGTCTTGGATTTTCTTTAAAATAGTATGAGTAAACTACAAGGCAGGATACCTGAAACACCATGGGCCTTGAGCTGTGGGGTGGTTGGGATCTGTAACATTCCCAGAAGCCCATGTCTCACAGGCTTGGCTGCCAGGTTTCAGCATTATTAAGAGGGACTGGAAGTAGATACTAGCAGGAGAGACTGAGCTCACTGCAGGGTGTGCCCTTGCAGAGGACATTGACTTCCCCCAGTCTCTCTGTTGGCTTCCCAGTCATCATCACAGGAGCAGTTTTGTCTCGCCATGTGCTCCCTGCCATGACTTCCTGTTACAAGCCTCATTGACTGAAGTTTCTGAAGCTCTGAATCAAAATCAACTTTTCTTCCTTCTAAGCTTTTACTCCCAGGCATTTCGTGGCAACAGAAAGTCGGCCACCATCACTGAGGCTGTAGACGGAGGTCTAGGGGGTTAGTGTACAGTTGGTATACAATTACATCTGTTTTTATGGATGGTTGACATTTCCCATAGTTGAATTCTTTTTTTCATATCACCAAGGTGTAGGATCCCATGAATAATTCACGCTGCTTCTCTGTAGGCCCCTAACAGCTCTATTTTGCTTCCTTTGCCTTCACCCACCGTTTTCCATGTGTAGTCATAGCCGTCCACGTTCATCACTGGCATAATGTAGAAATCCACGTGCCTCAGAATACTGGTATACAGCTTTTCCTTCCCGTAGAACTGGGTTACCTGCATGTTAAACCAGGTGTGTTTAGTGTCTCATTTCAGGTCCTTCTAAGCCTGGCCGCAGTTTTAAAAGAGTTTTCCTCTCTTCCTAAGAAGTGGTTTGATAGCTTTTGATGTGTAGATTTATTTTGCAAGAAGAGTAACGGTTTCTTTCTCTTCTTAAAAAATTATGTGGCTCATGCGTTTAATCTCAGCACTCAGGAGGCAGAAGCGAGTGGATCTCGGTGAGTTTGAGGCCAGCGTGGTCTACAAGAGCTAGTCCCAGGACAGTTAGGGCAATTACACAGAGAAACCCTCTCTCAAAAAAACCAAAAAAAATTATATCCTAGGTAAATTCATTTTCAAAGACTAATGAAACTGTGAACAAACACAACAATTGACTGTAACACAAATTGACCACTCTAACACTTGGTAATTTTTGTGTCTTAAGTCCCCCACTCTTTTATTGTTTTCAAAGGACTTGAAACTGTTCATTGGGATTTAATAGTGTCTATTTAACTACAGCTGTGCTTCTGTTGACATACAGCAGATTTTGAGGATCTTCTCTTCACACCCCTTCCCTTTGCTTTTCTGCTCTTTTTCTTCCCTGTGCTTGTGAATTGCAGGTGATACCTCCCAGCCTCGCTCACACATTCCCCTGGACACAGTATCCTTGTTCACAGAGTTACTCTGCTGCCTGCCTTCATCTGCCCTCCCGTAACAGGTCTGTATGGTGATCACAAATCTCCAAGTATCCGTTGTGAATACCAATTCCTTAAGTGACTGAACTTAAGGTACTCTGGCACCATATGGGTCATCAGAGACCTGCCTATTTAACGATAGCAGAAAAAAAGAACCACCTATTTCTAAATTCTCCTTCAAACACCAAGGAAGGATGCCCTTTAAAGCCAGGAAGCTTACAACAAAGATTAAAAAACAAAACCAAACCCTAATATAGTTCAGCTCCTTTTCAAAAATCCCTAGTAACCAGAACTTCTAATCTTGTTTTAAACCAGTGATTCTCAACCCATGGGTCTCATCCACTTTGGGGGATTGAACAACCCTTTTACAAGGGTTGCCTAAGACCATCAGAAAACACAGTATTTACATTATGACTCATAACAGTAGCAAAATTATAGCTATGAAGTAGCAATGAAAATAATTTTGTGGTTGGGGTCACCACAACATGAGAAACAGTATTAAAGGGTTGAATCATTATGAAGATTGAGAAGCACTGTTTTAGACCCAAACTTAATTGGACAATTATCTAATAGTCCTTATTCCTGGTCATAGAATTCATCTCCAGTTTCTTTCCCTCATGTTTTGTCACATGCTTTAACATCACTGGCAGTCTCTGTGGGTTCTTGCTCTGAGGTGCTGACCCTCATCATCAGGCCCTCACTCCTTCTGTAGGCTCACACCCAGCTTAGAGGTACAGCATGGTCCAAGGACATCCACAGAGTTCACTCCAAAATGATGAAAAACACAGACAGGCAGGAGAACTTCAGAGAATGTTCCCTACCTGGTTAGATCACCTCACCTAGAAAGCTTTGGTCTAAAATTGTCATGCTGCAGCAACATTGATATATTCTTGGTTTGGGTATTAGTTTCGAATTGTTTGATGTCTTAAACACAAGTCAAAAGATCTTGATAAGAAACGGGTTTTTCTCATTATTAACTTTTACAAGTTTCTTTTAAATCCTACTTTAAAAGGATGGCTTTTAAAGGGATGGCTCAGCACCTCAGATCATATACCAGCATCTGATGCCGGCACCCACACACATCAGGAGGCTCACAGCTACTGAAACTCTAGCCCCCAGAGGATCTGAGGTTTCTGACTTCCATGGGCACCTGCACACATGTGAATGCCCACACATATGCACACACACACATGCACACACACACAAAGCTACCCGCTTTTAATGGCTTCAGAGAAAGGAAAAGGCAGTCTTATGAGGACCTGGATAAGTTATCCAGCTCCAAGTGGTCATTCCTAAACATATATACATATCTGAGTAACACTGAATGAAAATTCAACAGGTTGTATTTACAGATATATGCGTGCACATGCATGTGTGTGTGTGTGTGTGTGTGTGTGTGTGTGAGAGAGAGAGAGAGAGAGAGAGAGAGAGAGAGAGAGAGAGAACTGCCTGAAAGTTGTGCAGTGCGCACGAGGGTTCCAGCGTTCGTGGTTATCAGTTGTGCTGGGCGGGCTTTCAGTGATGACAGCTGCTTTGATGCATCCCTGCTTCTGGAAGCAACCCTTTACCCACAGCGCTGTTAGTAACCCCATTAAACCCACTGGTTCCTGAGCGGTATCCTTACATTGGTCTGGGTTTGCTTCTAATTCTGGGTTGAGTAGACACTGATTCACATCTCCCCAGGAGCAGTCTCCCCTGAGACTCCTAACAAACTCAGATTTCTTGGAGAAGAGGGGTTGTAAAGAAGGTGGCAGTGGTTAAGAGTGTCGCATTTGTTAGGACCTACTACAGGCAGAAATAGCTTTACATCTGATGCATTCCCTTTGTTAAGAGAGATTTAAACAGTGATGTCTTAAGGTTCTGACTGATATATTTTGTGGTACAGTCATTGTGAAATAGTGTTATCCAAAAAATAGGCATTTTGAATTTTCTAGTATATGTCTCTTTGCATGAACTAAGAATTCCAGGATGTGAATTGGGAAAATGCAGCTTAGTCACAATACAGTTGGAACACTGGTCTATGGGGAGTACTTACATAGCCTATGAACCACAGGCAGAAAGCAGGTGAGATCCACTCTCTCGCATGGATTCCACAGTCAATCCATATGGCATTTTTTGCTCTTGGCATCCTTCCTGAAACCTGCGCGCACACACATAAATAAATAAACAAATAAATAAGAAAGATAGAACACAACCAATATATCCCCATTTTGGTTTTTTTTCCCTCCATCCTTCCAATGGCCTTACTGCATGTACACTGTTCTCTGTGTTACTTAAAAACTTCTCAGAGCAAATTCAAAAGCTAGTGAGATGGAAGGGGCAGTTATTTAGGTCTGATGTGTGTGCGACCTGGGAATGAAACTGAAGCCGGTATTCCCGCCCCTGCACTACCTAGACGTGCAGACAGAAAGAGAAGAAAAAAAAATGTTGTTTTAAGTATGTCTTTACTCCTGAGAGGTCAGTGCCATTTGCTGGTGGGCAGTTGTCCCAGGAAGAATAGAGACTTAGGGAACATGAACTCCCTCAAAATTTCTCCATGGGGTACACTTTTTATGGAATACTATTTCTTCACTTCACCCCCCCCAAAGGATGAATGTATCACCAGTTGATTCATAAAACTGGTCCCATTAGATTGGGGACAGGGATTTTGATCTGACGTACAGGGTAGAAAGCTAGTACATGGTGTCAACTCTGTGGAGCAAAAAGAATCAGTTTTCACAAAGTGACAACCTTTGACCTCTTTAGACAGATTCTCAAGATCAAGCCAGTCAAAATCCCTGCAGGGATGGAGGCAACTGATGGTTTTGAAGGAGGGAGAGTAAGTTTCACCCAGGGATGAGGCCCCTGAAAGTCTACCATGGTCCAGCATATGGTCCTATAGACATGTACCTATAGGCAGCACTAAGTGACAGAGAGAGGGGAGAGAGAGAGAGGGGGGAGAGAGAGAGAGGAGAGAGAGAGAGAGAGAGAGAGAGAGAGAGAAGGAAGGAGTAGGAGGGAGGAACAGAGAGAGAACACATGAAACTGGGAGGGAAAGGGAGAGAAACAGAGGAGGAATTGAATGAGAGGGAGGGATGGATGGATGTTTTTTAATGCCATAACATGTGATATACATGCATGAGATTATCAGTGAAAAAGAATTCTCAAGAACTTTTCCAAAATCAATCATAATTTAATCTAAAATGTTGCTCCTTATTTCTATTTTATGTATATGGGTTTTCCCCGCATGTATGTCTGTACCACATGTGTGCCTAGTACCCTCAGAGGCCAAAAGAGATGCTGAATCCCCTGGGACTGGGGCTACAGACAACTGTGAGGCACTGTGTAGGTGCTGGGAATCGAATCTGGGTCCTCTGAGGGGGCAGAGTGCTCTTTATCACTGAGCCAACTCTACAGCTTCCCATAAATTTGATTATTTAAAATTAGATACAAAAATAAATTCAGAATATGGAGTAAAAGAAAAATTATAAATTCTAACAAATATGTAGAATAACAAAAACAAGAAGAAAAGTGAGTGAATTTTGGTCATTTACACCATCCTGGGAAGGCTTCTGTGCTGGCTAGTCTTATGTCAACTTGACACACACACTAAAGTTATCTGAAAGTAGAGAACCTCAACTGAGAAAATGTCTCTATAAGACTAGATGCAAAGCATTTTCTTAATTAGTGATTGATGGGGGAGGTCCCAGGCCATTGTGGGTGGTGGCATCCCTGGGTTGGTGGTTCTGGTCTCTATAAACAGGTTGAGCAAGGCATAGGGAACAAGCCAGTAAGTAGCACCTCTCCATGGCCATCAGCTCCTGCCTCCAGGTTCCTGTCCTGTTTGAATCCCTGTCCGCACTTCCTTTGAAGATTAACGGCAATATGGAAGTGTAAGCCAAATAAACTCTTTCCTCCCTACCTTGCTTTTTGGTCCTGGTGTTTTATCACAGCAATAGAAACCCTACCTAAGTTGCCTTGCCTAATGTGCAGCTAGCAATATTTAAATAAGGGAAAGAAAAAATGGCTACTAATAGTCAAACCATCTAATCAAACAGATTTGGATAATCCCACCTAGTTAGTGTCAAAGTCCTCACTTGTCCAGGTTAGTTGCCTCACTTGGCCATTCACTCATTCATTCATTCATATTTATGTATATGTAGTTTTAGGGATAAATTGCCTGTTGGCTCAACACTGACAGCATTGTGGGTCTGCAGAAACTGTTATTGTGTGTACATCCTCAGTTAAGTAAGAGTAAAACTTGATGCAACCAACCAGGATGGATGATTTTCCCCATGTATGCATTCAGCTTCCAGAATCCAGTTGCAAGATGCACACAAAACAATAAAGTGTCAAGGGTGGGCATGCCATGATAAACAAGAAAGTGTCATTGGTGGGCATGCCATGGCAAAAACAAGGAAGTGTCATGGGTAGGAATGCCATGATGGTTCCCATGGAATTAACCTATTAACTAACTGAATCACTAAAGGAAGCCATATGCCTCATCTCTGCCTTGAGTCTGTCCTGGAAAGTTCTTGGGAAGGACAGGTTGAACCTGAGATATTTTGATTCAAAGTTGTCTTTGAGCAGCTACAAACATCTTCTATTACAAGTGAGGATGTGCCAATTCTGTGCCACTAAAGCAAATGTTTTTTTCTATTAATTACATCTCTGTAGAGAGCTGCAAGAGTGTGGGTGAAATCAGAACTACAGAATGGAAGGTGTGATTAATCAGAACTACAGAATGGAAGGTGTGACCAATCAGAACTACAGAATGGAAGGTGTAACCAATCAGAACTACAGAATGGAAGGTGTGACCAATCAGAACTACAGAATGGAAGGTGTGACCAATCAGAACTACAGAATGGAAGTTGTGACCAATCAAAACTACAGAATAGAAGGTTGGACCAATCAGAACTACAGAATGGAAGGTGTGACCATCAAATTTTATCATGTTCACGATGCCTGTGATTTTTCTAGCATTCACACTCACTGATCTTCCCTAGGCATAGTTCTTTCAAAGAAGAGACTTCACCCGGGCCCATATTACTCTCTCCTATATACGGATATTGTTGAGCACAGGGTTGGGAAGAAGCCCTCCTAGAATGGTATAAATGGCAATATTTAACCCTCTTTTCTTCTTGTTTTGGTTACTCTAAATATTCGCTAATTTTTTTATAACCCTTCACCCTTATTTACATATCCTGAAATTATGTTTGCAACTATCTTTTAAAAATCAAATGCTCTTCCACAAGATTTTGCAACTGGAAGCACATAGCCACACGGGTGGTGACTGAGGCCGTCACTGCAGCATTGCCCTGCTCTCTGGGTTCACCTGGATGGTGGCTCAACTCTACTTCGGGTTTTCAAAAGCTAGGCTACTGTTTGTCCAAGAACAACTCAAGATACACAGTCTCTCCCACCAATCTGAGGAGGTGGTGATTTAGATAGAACTTGAGGAGTAGCCCAGACTACCCGCATCATTTTATGAATGTGGCCACTGGACCCCCCCAGAAAGTGGCTTATCTAGTTGTCTAATGTAACATGAACAAAGGTGAGTTTGAGTCTAGAGAGGTTTTTCACTCAAACTCATTACTCAAAAAGGGGAGTAACTTATTCCTAAGCAGCTGGATATTAAAGTTAAGATACACTTGAAATAAAAATATTTCCAGAACTCAAAGGAAAGTAGAACTATAGTGGTGTATTATTTGTGTTTTAATATATAAAGCTTGTCTGAAGATCAGTGCGAAGCAGCCACACTAGTTAGCCATAGAGGCCAGGCAGTGGTGGTACACGCCTTTAATCCCAGCGCTAGAGAGGAATATAAGATGGGAGGAGACAGAGCTCACTCTCGGTCTCAATATGAGGATTCGTGGAGGCAGTTTCACCATTTTCAGTCTGAGGTAGACGTAAGAGCCAGCAGCTGGCTGCTTTGATTTTCTGATCATCAGGTTGAACCCCAATATCTGCCTCTGGATTTTTATTATTCATGCTACGTAGAACTAAGCTATAACAAACACCATTGCATAGTCAATCTCACACTCCAAGTGACTCTCCTCACGTACCTTTAAAACATAAAGTGGGTGCTTTTCATATGATGAGCCAATGTAGATTTTCTGGAGCATGTCAGGATACCGTTCAGTTATAACGTCTATCCAGGAATAGATCTATGAAAACAGAAACCACAGGTTAGTCACAGGACAAGCTCACAGGACACCCCTGATCACAGGAAGTAGGCAGCTTCCTTATGGACAGGAGATTCCACTCCACTCTCTGCAGATAGGAGAACTGAAGAACTGAAAACACTCGGGAAGGAGTGTTTGCTCTGCTGAAAAGAAATAAACCAGAGTTTGGCTGAGTTCTAAGTATTAGGGGGAAAGTGAAACAGTTCTAAGAAGCATAGGACAAGGAGTTAATCTCCAAAATGTGGCCTTGGAAATTATTGGTTTTTATCTAATTTGATATTATGTCTATGAATATATGTCTGTGCACCGCTTGGGGGCTGGTGGAGGCCAGAAGAGGGCAATGGATCCTCTGAAACTGGAGTTACAGACAGTTGTGAGCCACTATGTGGGGGCTGGAATTGAAGCCAGGTTCCACGGAAGAGCAGCCAGTGCTCGTAACTGCTGAGCCATCTCTGCAGCCCAAACATTACTGTTCATTCATTTCCTAGTGCAGGTGATCAAATGCAGGGCCTTGCACACGATAGACAAGAACTCTACCACTGAATTATATGCCTTGGGCTTTTTGTTGTTTTGTCTTTTGTGGCAGGATCTCACCATGTAAGCCAGGCTGGCCTCAAACTTATGATCTCCCCACCTCAGCCTTCTGAGTACTGAGATTGTGGTTTTGAGCCACCAGGTCCCATTCCAGAGTTCCTTTTAGAGGCTTATCACATTGAGACTCTGTCTGTGTGCATGGGGTCCTCCTACCAGGCATCCTGGAGCTAGCATTATGAGGCTTAAAAAAAGAAATTCAGGGCTGGGGAGATCGCTGTTGCTATGGTGGTTGCTGAGCAAGTTTGAGGACCTGGTTCAGTTCCCCAGCACCTGTGTAAAATGTGGGCACCACAGCATGCACGTGTAACCCTAACACTGGGGAAGGGGGAAAATGTCGGGGAGGTTGCTGGCCAGCCAGACTAGCTGAGTCAGTGGTGTCCCATTGTCACATCCAACCTCTACTTTTCGGGCCACTCCTACCTCTCTGCAACACGGTTCTCGCATATTGTTGGCGAGAGACGTTCGAGGGGAGTGGCCTAAGTAGAGCAGATAGGTGTAAGATCTAAAGAGAAATAATATGTAAAACTGTAACCTTTGCATCCATCAGCCGGGCACATAGGATCTGGAAGCAGATTGAGTTCTGGATTAAGCACCTGGAGAAGCAGATGATTTCAAAGATGAAATACGAAATTGCCTGCGTCTTAGATGTGGATCCTGACATTTTTTTTTTTTTTTTTAGGCACCCAGTCAAAGACATGCTGGTTTAAAAGTTTCTACTCAGAAGGATAAAATCTATTCATTTGTAGCCTATTCGATGTAAGTGAACGTATCACTCTAATTCTGTGAGGTAATCTGGTGATTATTCATTAAGAATAAATTTCGGGTACTGGCCCAAAGAGACTCGAGCAATTGCAATGTTTGTGGCAGTTCCAGTGTAGCGGTCCTGTTCTTTATTTTCTTAGAATTCAATGTTTTCTTCAGTGTTAGCCCTAGAAGTGAGAGAGACTCTTAGCCTCTAGACACAGATGCTGTTGTAGGACCAGTTTATCAAATATGGGGGAAACCTTCCCAGGGGGAGACATCAACAAAGGATGAATTGCCACCATTTAATCAACCTAAGCATGATTTCTTTCTTTTCTTTTTCTTTCTTTTTTTTTTTTTTTTTTTGGATTTTCGAGACAGGGTTTCTCCGTAGCTTTTTGGTTCCTAAGCATGATTAAAAAAAAAAAAAAAAGAAAAAACAAAGTACCATCCTCCGTTGGTTATGATTATTCGATAGTTCCTCGTGGTTGAAACGGCATGAGGAGCGGTGCGGTGACTTACCTCACCCAGCGAGTGATACTGTTCGTAGTAAGATGAGGAGGCCCGGGGGCTGACTGTGTCGTTGGAAATCTGCTGCCGGATTAGATCCTCCACATCTTTCATCAGGACGCTGAGGATGAAAGAGAAGATGAGCAATTTGCAAGCACAATGCTGGCCTTCCCACGTGGCCCACCATGTGTGTGAGCTTGGAAGAGTTGCCAGCGGGTCTCATGAGCACAACACAGCCCTGGATGGAGATGGGACGACTCCACGAATCTCTCTCTCTTTTTTTTTTTTTTTTTTGATTTTTCGAGACAGGGTTTCTCCGTAGCTTTTGGTTCCTGTCCTGGAACTAGCTCTTGTAGACCAGGCTGGACTCGAACTCACAGAGATCCACCTGCCTCTGCCTCCCGAGTGCTGGGATTAAAGGCGTGTGCCACCACCGCCCGGCTTCCACGAATCTCTTTAACAGATCCCTGTGAACACTGGGGAGAGGCCGTGAGGTACAGCTTCAGGACTGCCCCAATCTTACCTCCTCTGTCTAAATCTGTATATCTTGACTGTGATTCTTCAGTGTGTTTCCTAAGAGAACTGTGATGTCTGACCTTGACTGTCAACGTGACACACCTGGGAAGAGCGAGCCTCCACTAAAGAACGAACAGCCTCCACCAGAGATGGTTTGGGGACAAGTTTGTGCCCAGGACTGAATTTCAGTTCCCAGCACCCACATGGCAGCTCACAGTCATCTCTAACTCCAGTCCATGGGCTTGGGTGCCCTCTTCTAGCCTCTGCAGGCACTGCATGCAGGCAAAATACCCATACCCATACCCGTAAAATAAAATAATCTTTAAACGCTTTCCCATCTCTACTGGGAAAGTATCTACATTGCACACTTCTATGAGGACAAAGGAACAAGGTGAGGGAGCTACACCAGGGTCACAGATGGTGCACAGGTATGCACTCAAGAAAAACACCTATGCACATAAAAGTAAATAAAATTCTTTCAAGTCTGCCCACCATTATGTATGTATGTGTGTATGTTTGTATGTACGTGTGTGTTTGTATGTACGTGTATGTTTGTATGTACGTGTGTGTTTGTATGTACGTGTGTGTTTGTATGTACGTGTGTGTTTGTATGTATGTGTGTGTGCTTGTATGTATGTGTGTGTTTGTATGTACGTGTGTGTTTGTATGTATGTGTGTGCTTGTATGTATGTGTGTGTGTTTGTATGTACGTGTGTGTTTGTATGTATGTGTGTGTTTGTATGTACGTGTGTGTTTGTATGTATGTGTGTGTTTGTATGTACGTATTTGTTTGTATGTATGTGTGTGTTTGTATGTACGTGTGTGTTTGTATGTACGTGTGTGTTTGTATGTATGTACGTGTGTGTTTGTATGTATATATGTATATTCATTCTATCAGTTCTGCCCCACTAGAACCCTGACTAGTACACCTTCCTTTTCCCCCCAGGTTTCTTGTGTCAGATTTTTTACTAAAACAAGGACACAGATAACTAGTACCCACAGTGAATGGGGTTTGCCCATTAGGTCTAGGAATAGAGTAATCACAGAAAGAGGGTGAATGAGAGACTCTGAAGACCACTGAGTCTCAATTCAGATAAAGGACCGAAGTGCTAAGAGGTCAGATGACTTGTCGCTGAGTTGGGCCTTAAGTCTTATCCCCAGTCTCTCAGAGACCGCCATGCCTCCATTTTCAACGCGCTCGATTTTCCCACAAAGCAATTATGCCATTTCTTGGCTAAGCACACAGTAGGTGTTTATTGTAGCTGTTGAGTGGACTGGATGGACGTAGCCTAGGATACCCACCTAAATGGAATCCTGCTCACATTCAAATGGGCTTTAACGCTGTTGACGTCAGATGCATTCACAAAAAAATGGACGTCCTTTTTCTTTTCGATGAATTCAGCTGTCACTGGCTGCCAGAGAACGACCTACAGTTTCCAGGAGGAGATTGGGAAATTGAAAGCTGAGTCGTATACGTCATTTGCACCTGTAGCGAGACCCACAAGAGCCAGGTGTCTAAAAGGGCTGTGACGAGGACGCCGCCCAGCCACGGCCTCCACCCCACACACAGTAATATAGACACTCATCTACCAGGAAGCCCTTTTTATCCACTGTCCTTCTCCTTGCCAAATAGGCCCCGGAACACCCCGGATGCTTAATATTTGATGAGAAGATGAATACATTTAGAACCCTGCTGTGGAGGTGGTTGTATATTTCAGGTGCTTAAAAGAAAAATGAAATTCTCTCTAGGAAGGGAGTTTGATTACACATTGATTTTGCTTAGCAGAGATTCCAAGTCTTTGATATTATTATCACACTAGTGTATCTTTCTTTCATCTAATACCTCTGAATATTTACATTTTTCTCCTTTTTACAGCACTTCTCCAAAGTGTCATCAGACTCATTTCCTTCAGTCACTAGAATACCACTTTGGTAGCAACCAAGTAGATGTTATTAGTTTCTTTGTAAAGATGAGCCAATTAAGGATCATTTGTTGAAAATCATATACCCAGTGTCAGAATAAGCAATAAGATTCTGAGGTTTCAGTGAGAACACAGTATTGTGACGTATGTGTGGAAAATATCACAGTGAAACTCAGTTTTTTTGTAAGCTAACTGAACAATGAAATTAGCGGATCAATGAACAGAAAACAGAGATTGTTTTCTGACCCTTTCTCTGGAGATATCTCATTTTTATCTTGTGAAAGGGTTATGAACACATCTCACCCAGTTCTGTTCTGCGTCTGCCAGAGGCACGGGGGACTCCTAGTGGCCACCCACGTGACACACCTCATGCCACCTGCACACGGTGAGCGGGTGAGTGTGTTCATGCAGAGCCGATCCTCCCAGAGGATTCTTGTATCTAAGGATTTTGTGAAAGCAAAGTCCACACAGCTACCTCTTCCTGACTTGGGAACTGCTTTGCAGTCTGAGTACCGCCACTATGAACCTCCCTCCTGTAGAATCATCCCCCACTCCACCCCACCCCAGTGAAGGCACCTCCCCACTTCCAGAAAGTACTCCTTTACCGTTTGCACCTCCAAACTGCTCTGACCTCTGTCGCTTAAAACACAAATGTGGGAACCAGCCATGATAAGCTAAGTATGGGCAGGTCACCCAAAGGAAGTTCTTTACTTCCAACCATTATCACCTGCCAGAGTAGAACTCAGCCATCAATAAGTTTAAATAGAGGCCTGAGTCTCAGGAGTTTACCCTGAAGCAATACCTGGCTGCAGGAAGAACCACAAACTGAGATTAAGGAAATGCCTGGCATCCCAACCGCTGTAGATAGGACCACCTGCCAGAACACGCTCACCAGGACATCCCTAGACAAATGTCAGAAACCCCTCACCCCCACCTTTACTACCATAAAAACCCAATTCTAACTGATCTCAGAGCTCTCCGGTTGTTCCAACACGTTGGGCATGCAGAGAGACCGAGTGTGCAAACTTGATTAAAATAAAAGTTCTTTGTTTTTTTTACATACGGGACCCACCCTCCATGTTTGCTTTTGCAGGGACTTTGTGGATTTGGGCCTAGCACGGGCAGTTTAATAAAAGTTCGCCTGTGGCTTGTGTGCCTCCTCCTTGGCTAAGAACCAGTGCTCTCTGAGGAAAACACTGTCAAACTTCTGATACCGTAACAGCTTTGTGCTAAAGTGCTTACAGCTTTGACGAAATACCCTCAAAGTGGCTGAAAAGCTAAGCACACAGATAAAGGTTTGGCTCTGGAAATAAAAGGTCTTGTGGTTTTGGCTAGATACGTACAGAGGGACTGGAGGGGGGAACACAATTTACATTGCACCCAGACAAAACAGAAATGTAAGCTAGAGGACATTACCTCATAGGTTGCTGTAAGATTCTGAAGAACTTGAACTTGCCTGGAGGTTCTGGGAAGAGCAGATAAAACCTGGCCGCTGCGGAGGAAAACAGGATTAAATAACAACGTGAAAATGGCACATTTTACTGAAGGAGCTTCTAGGTCCTTCTAAGACAGAAACGGTTGAAGAGTATTAGGATGGAGGGAGGTCACCAGCCTCTCTCACACTCTGTACTCCCAAACAACCACAAAGCCACAGCTCTCGGGTTCGGAGGGCACCGGCCTCTCTCCTCTCCCTTCTACTCAAGCACTTGCGTGAGAGAAAGAGATGACAAATAAATTTGCTTTTATTTTTGCACATGGGAAGGCGGAACTCTAGGTTGCTGTCACTGGGCGTGTGAATTAGTGGAGCCGTTATGGAAAGTAGCACAGAGTTTGCTCAGGAAGTTAAAGCTAGAGCTAGAATAGGCTCTGACAATCCTGCTGCCGGGCATACAGAAATTAAATTAGCGTGTCAGAGAGACGTGTGCATTCTTATTTTTGTTGCAATATTCCTCACAACTGTGGAGTCAGTCTGAGTGTCCATCACTGGACAAAGAAAATACGATAAATACACACAAACACACACAATGGTGTAATATCCAATCATTAAAATGAATTAGATCCTTGAGGCTGGAGAGATGGCTCAGCGGTTAAGAGCATTTGTTGCTCTTGCTGAGGACCTGGGTTCAATTCACAGCACACACATGGGACAGCCCAAAACCTTGACACTCTAATTCCAAGGGATCTGACATCTTCTGACCTCTTCAGACACCAGGCAGGAAGAAGGCACACATGCATACAGGATAGGCAAAACAGTCATACACATAAAATAAAAGTTTTTAAAAAGGAAATCCAAGGGCTGGAGAGATGGAACAGTGGTTAAGAGCACCTTTGCTCTTGCAGAAGACCAAGTTCAGTTCCCAACACCCTCAGGTCTCACAACCAGCTCCAATTCTGAAAGATAAAATGCCCATTCTGACCTCCTTAATCACAGTTATCCACATTGTACACATACATACATACAGGCAAAATGTTAATACACATAAATAAAAAACCTAAAAAAAAACACAATTTCTAAAAGAATGAGATCCCGTCGTATATGATAACAGAAATTACATTAAGTGAAGGAAGCCAGGCACAGAGGAGCCCGTAATATCCACATTATAATCCCCCTCTCAAGGTGGTTAATATAAAGCACTCTCAAGGCTGAAGGGAAACGGTGTTGAGACCAGCCTGGGCTACAGAGCGAGTGCCAAGCCAGTCTGAGTTACAGAGTGAGACCCTGTCTCAAGCACCACCACAACTCCATCCGCACCCACACACAGGAAGAGGAAGATACAGGGAGACTTGGCTGACATCCTTGGAGGTCCCTGCATGCTTCTCTTCCTCGCTCACATTCCCGCATCCCATAGCTATCCAATGCCTTCACTTTTCACCTTCATTTTTCACCTCCTGTTTTTCTTTATGATAGTGTTTCTGACTCATAGCTCTGCATTATGGTCTGGTGGGTTCTTGAGGAATTGTTTAGATTTGTTTGGCTTTTATTTTACAAAAAATAAGAGTGGGGGGTGTAGCTCAGAGTGCCTGCCTTGCACGTACCCCAGATTTTGATGGATTTTACAGGGCTTATTATAAGCACTCGCCTGAATGTTGTTCTCCTTACTGTCATTTGCTCGAGCTTATTGCGATAGTTCCCATGCTACAAGATTTTCCTTGCGAGTGGGCTTGCTGGTTCACGCTTCATCCTCACCTTACAGGGTCATGTCAAATCAGTCCTTTGCTGTTTTCATTCATCTCTATTTCCAGTGGGAACGATTTCCTTTGGCTTCCTCCCGTCAACCCTTGACGACATCTACCTTTAACTTCTTCAGTCAGCATGGCACAGAGATCCTACATCTCAATTTTCTGACTTCACTTTGAATTTCCGGTCTACCAATTATTTTTATGTTCCAATTACTTAGCATTCCAATATTTACTTATGTGTTATTTTTTATTTTTGGTTTTTTTTTTTTCGAGACAGGGTTTCTCTGTGGTTTTGGAGCCTGTCCTGGAACTAGCTCTTGTAGACCAGGCTGGTCTCGAACTCACAGAGATCCGCCTGCCTCTGCCTCCCGAGTGCTGGGATTAAAGGCGTGCGCCACCACCGCCCGGCCTGTGTTATTTTTATCCAGGTCATTTGCTCATTTTTTTCCCTGTTCATTCCTTTGTATCTTTGTGCAAATTGACTAGCATCATTTACTTCCTTTCTGGGTAGGCATCCTTATCAGATACTCACAGGCAAACGTCTTCTATCGGTTTTCAATTTGTGCCCCCCACTTAATTTTCTTTTGTTCTTTCTAGTATTGGGGTTGAACCCAGGGACTCGTGCACGTCAGGCAAGTGTTCTGCTGCTGAGCTACACGCCTGGCTTCTCCTGCAGATAGATTTCTGTCCATCATTTCTTACAGGTTTCCATGTGTAAGGCTCTCTCCAAACCTTGGGACACAATAACAGTCACATCTATCTCTTTTGTCTTTCTTCTTGATTTTTATTTTACCTCCATGGGTGTCTTGCCTACATCTGTGTGCGGTGACCATAGAGGCCTGAAGAGAGTGTCAGATCCTGAGAACTGGAGTCACAGGCAATTGTGAGCTGACACACGGGTGCTGGTAACTGAATCCAGGTTCTCTGGAAGAGGAACCAGTTCCCTTAAACCACCTGTCCAGTCCCCAAACCCATTTGTTTGTCTTTTCTGTTGCATCTTTTAAGCCACTGGGAGTTATTAGTAGGAAGTGTAGCGAAGGAATTCTTCTCTCTCTCTCTCTCTCTCTCTCTCTCTCTCTCTCTCTCGTTTCCTTTTCCTCTTCACATTGTTAAGGGCCAACGACTCCATTTTTCCTCCTTTTTCTAGTTAAGCATGATGTTAGAATCTGATTTATTTCTATATTGTTCCCTATGGTTCTTTTTCTTTAGTCATGTCCCAAGTTGATGGTCAATTTGTTTAACTTATTCTTCCTCTATAATCTTGTGATTTACACATAATAAATTGCTTCTATTGTTTCACGGCATGTTTCAAGAGTTGGCTGACCATAAAATGCTTCATGGTATGTTTCAAAAACTGGCTAACTAACTACATTACTAACCACAGACTTTTGTCGTCATTTCCTGTGTACCTCAGGTTTGAGCTTGACTATGAAAGGGCTCCCTTGCTTTTCAGTCAGGGCCATTTTGATCTTCTACTTTGGCCTGGCCGTAAAACACATTTCTACTTTGCAGCGTTTTAGTGTTTGTGCCTGGTTTTTGACGCCGTAACAGACATCATTTTATCATTTAAGAGTCCCCAGTGCCTTCCATAGATGTCTATTGTCAGCATTGATATGGGTTAAGTTTCCATACCAGTTGACAGAGAAAATGTGTCTCAAACCATGTCTTCTTCCTGGGCTGCAGAAAAATTGCATCCCCAGGGTTTCACATGGCTATGCTGCAGTCCTGGGTTTCAGCCTGTGGGGATGCACGGGGTGTGCAAAATCTCTCCTCCCGAGGCTGGAGCCAAGAATGCCAAGACATCAAGTTGTATAACAAACCGCTTAGACGCCCCAGGATAGAACGTACCATGGAGAGCCTGTGCTTCCTATTGATAGGTGACATGGGAAACGCCATGGTGTGGAGGCTAGTGTCCCTCTCGAATCTATGTGTTGCATTCCGAATCCCCAAGGTGTTGGAATTAAGAAATGAGGAATTCGGGAAGTAGAGGTCAAAATCAGAGTCCTCTTGAATAGGATTAGTGTCCCTTTAACAGAAGCCTGGGAGTGACGCCACTCATTCCCTCCCACCCCGTGTCCACAGAGGGGAAAGACATTGCTTCTGGGGAAGTCTGCTCTCCTTCCTGCTCCTAGCACAATGAGATGTTTCTGTTGTATAAGCCCTTAGCTGAAAGTATTCTGCTGTTGTCACAACAGACAAATGGATTACTAATTGAGGATTTAATGTATCAGGCAAGGCTATTTCAGGATTTATTAGCTGTTGTAGTATAATCTGGGGGGCTCAGCACCAACATAGTGCTTCTCTTTCTGGGCTGCTGAGCTTTAATGGGGCTTAGCTCTTTGTCAGTCTTTGCTCCCCAGTGGTGAGGCTAAAAGCCCACAGCACCACGTCAGGCTTTTCACATTGGTTCACGGGATCAAATGCAGGTTACCGCTTGAACTATCTTCTCCACCCTTCAAACTAATTCTCAGTATCTCACAAAATGAGCTCAGCTGCCTCTGCCTCCCTAACCCTCTGCTTCTTGAAAAGCCTCTCGGGGTGATCTGCTTTCTGTTATAAAATTTAAAAATCAACACCTGTGAGTTTATTGAATCGAATTTTATAGGTTCATAATTTGGGGAGGACGGATGTGCTCACTGAGTTCAAGAGCCACAGATTTCCCAGTCTGGCCTTCCATCATGTCTTTTTAAAAAATGTTTTATCTGGGCTGGAGAGATGACTCAGTGATTAAGAGCCCTAGCTGTTCTTCCAGGGGACCAGGGTTCAATTCCCAGCACCCACATCGCAGCTCACAACTGTCTCTAACTCCAGTGCCGGGGGACCCAACACCCATGGCAAAGCACCAATGCACATAAAAGTAAATAAACTTTTTAAAAAGCATGTCTAGAAAATAAAACTTTTTATAAGGTTTTATCCATTAATCTACTGCATATTTTAAAACCATGCTTGTTCTAATAGCATTACTTTTCTTCTATAAACCGTAATTGAATATTTGTTGCCAAGATATACAAATAAGGCTGATTTGGGGATGTCGAGTTTCTTACTCCTCTCTTTGTGTGGTGTTTAAGTGTCTGTCAGCTTCACACAATCGGAAATCACCTCGGAACAGAGTCTCAGTGGAATTGTGTAGTCAAGCTGGCATGTGGAGGGGTTGTTTTGATGACATTAATTGTCATTGGAAGACCCAGTCCACCGCGAGCACCAGCATCCCCTGTCCAGAGAGGAGAAAGCACCAAGTGCGGCTTTGCCTCCACTCTCTCTGCTCTTCACGGTGGATGTGACTAGCTGGTTCACACTCTATTGCCTTGACCT